CCGTGAAACCTTTGGCATTGTTGTGAATTTGTTGCTTCTTGGGCAATGGCATCTTGAACAACTTGTGGAAACCATCCTTGCGCAAAGGGTTCGCGTAGGCACCGCAATTCTCACACTTGCGTTTTGACAAGGTCCTCTTCAGAAAGCTGCCCATGACGTCCTTTCTGAGATCATTGATGACTGTGTGCTTGTAAGTTTCGGCTACTGTAGGATCTTTCGCCCCTCTGTCCAAAGCATCCTTGACGTATCGGTCTACTTGTCCTTTAGCCTACAGCTCTTTAACCAAACGAAGAACTTACCAAGGCGTGCAATATAACCTTGGATACCTTCTTCCTCCTCAGCCTCCGCTTCATGAATGTCGGCAATTTCGTCATCCGCGGTCGCCTTATTCTCTTTAAAGTAGGCTCGGACACGATCAATATTGTGAGCATCCAGAATCAAGCCATGTTGGAGCAGGGTCAATTTGGCGGCATATAGAGCAGCTTCTGCAGCTCCCAGTCGAAACTTGTGACAATGCAGACATGTCGCCCTCAAGAGTGCGAACATGTGAACAAAGAAGAGAGGATTGTAGCATGGCACGGGCAACTCGATATGACCCCAATGTCCAGGACATTGAAAGTGGTCTAACTGACATGTCGCGCAACTAAATAGCTGTTAGCAGACTTGTCATGGTCCAAGGTCAATAACACTTACATGTGGTGCCGATCATAGGGACCGAGTGCAGAATCGTATAGACCACCTTTAGTGGGATGTCCGAGATTATCGAGGATAACGGGGTTCACAATCTGTTTAACTGATATCTTCTTGATCTCTTCTGCATCATAGAACGAGAAGGATACAGAGGTCAACTCTGAGCCGATAGGAACGGCCACATTCATGGCAAAAGGAACAGAGCAAGAGCAGCAGAGAGAGCGTCGCTCGGTCCATTATTTTTTTTTAGTCACGTGCCCAAATGCTTTGGTGCAGCGTGGAACAGACTTTTCCACATGAAGGCTTCGGAGAGCAAGAGTTCTACATCCTTTTCCGTCCAATCGTCCGTTGGCAGTTGCTGAAGAAACATGATAATGTTCTGAGGCCGTGTTAAACCAAGAACCAAGTTGATAGACTCGATGGTACGCAACTAACCTGAAAATCCATTTTTCGCAATTTCTCGGACCATTTCACGAGAAAAGCCGCGCAAACGTAGACGTGAAAATCGGAGAAGCCGTCTGAGCCTTCCGCCTGTAGAAAGTGTTTAGATATTGGAGGCCATCAGGGCAATTAGGCCTTACCAGGTAGGTATCCCACATGCGAATGATTGTCTCTAGAGGCAGTTCGCGCATCAACAAGCAATTCATCCACCGCCACGCAAACGCAATATAGTCTACATGTTCGGCATCCAGGTGAGAAGCGAGTGGAGCTAAACGAGTTGTCAATCCAAGATGGAGCAGATGAAGCCTTCTGTCACAAACATACCATCTATTCTGGCAACTAATTCTTTCATTTTAATGATTTGGCGTTGTATACCCGGCTGTGCGTAAGTGTAATTGTCCTGACAATGGTCTTAGCGCCTAGTTTTCCATCACAAGCAAATTCATCACCTGTATACCATCCAATAGCTTGGAAAGACACCAAAATGCGTCTGCTTCGACGGTCCGCAACACATCTTTAGGTAGCTGCGTAATATCGTAATTTTGTACATTGCCGTCTGTGCAGCAAATCAGTTGAAATGCACACTAGCATGCAATGATCACATACCTATATGATCTTGCAAGAAGACTTGAAAGAAAGGAGTAACAAGGTCATTAATGCCTTGCACGTAGCCACTGGCTGGATGTCGGATTGACCAGCAATATAGAATTCGTTCTAGACACTACGACTTGTCAGTAGGACATGATTAAGGAAAAACCGTACCTGTTGAGTTTCTTCTGACTGGTAAAGAGGGACTCCAGCATTTGTTCGCAAAATGTCGATATGGATCTGCCATTGATGAGCAAACATAATTGCTGGTTTAGCCTGTTTTCTCTCCTACCTGATGACGAAGGACTTGATCCAAACCCGCCTCCCCATGTGTGAAAGTGGCATTGATCGCATCATCGTATTCTGCTCGCTTCTTTCGCAGCGTTTCAGCTCTGCGATTCAGATTAGCCGGTTGGTAGCCCTGTATCTATGTTAGCTGATTACGCATGAATTCCGAGCGTCTTACCAAGAGTATTTGCCAGGTGGTTGCTCGGACGGGCAGGGGAACACCGGACCAGCTAAGCTTCCGCAGGTGCGCTAAGAGAGGTTCAGCAAGCATTTTAAAAGATACTGAACAGGTGTACCTAGATCGATATTTTCATCCTGCAAAGCCAAACGGAAACGTCTCAATCGAGTCATTACTATAGACTCCTTCTTCACTATGGTATCGTCTGTTTCTGTTATGGATTTGCTTGTAGGTATCGTGGGTATCGTCGGTGTTTTGATGACTTGAGGCGTTTGTATTGTCGGTGACATGGCTGTCGGTGTCTGTTGACTTTGTTCTATTGGCTCGCTGTCGTTCCAGTCCCCTTCTGTTTCCTCCAGAAACTCAGCGAAGGCTTTTATCGGAGGTAGATTCGAGGACGCCCGGCGCCTATTGAGTAGTGCGGATTTTGCCGTTGTCAATTTTGTTGATACCTTGCTTATCGCACGTGTATACGAGCTGTAGTCGCGTGGTGATGACCTTTCGCAGACTAGAGTAGGATACTCTGTTGCAGTTAATACATTCGCTGAGCCGTTCTTCTCTGCCAGTCCGTCCTTATCGTCCAGGACTAACTGAACAACCCCCGGATAACGCACTGCCCTTCGCTTCCAGAATGTGTGCCTGACTTCCATCACCGCGGTAATATTGTGATACAGGGGTTGGGAGTGGGATGTTTTTATTTCAAAAAAGTCAATGAGCAAGCCTAATGTGTTGAAAAGCAAGTCATTGGTCTCCCATCGCTTCCGCGATGCCTTGTCCCTTGCTGGAAACGATTGTCCGAAAAGGAAATTTGAACAATGGACAAGTTCGCTTCGTGCCTGACACTGGTTTACTAGGAGTTGTGTTGCCTATGAGGAAATATTGAGGCAAAAGCAGGTTTACAAGAAACCCACGACGAAACCAGGAACGCAAAAGTGATACGCTTGTTTGGCGCGTGCACGCTCGCCGCCTTGATGACAATGCCGTTGAGATGGAAATTATAGATAGGGACTCGACAACATGAAGACGAGAGATATCAAGGAACAATAGCTCAATGTACCCTAAAGTTAGGCACTGGGTTCAAACTGCGATGAGTTTCAATGCATGTGTATACATGTGTGCCTCACAAGGGTTGTCAATTGCCTCATCATTGACATTGAACCCTAACCCTTGAGCTTATGAGGCGAATTCGTGACGACGTCCTCTGTTTTCTTGACCATCACTCTTTCTCGCTTCAATTGTTTATCAAGCGACTCTTCAGCTCAAGCAAGGTGGAGAAAGGATGGCTGGGTGATGTCTTGTCAATGCTGATGGGTACATCGATCTAAACATCCAGGCTCTATCTCTCTCGGATTGGACCTTGATTGCACAACGTCAAGCGCAGTCAGCGAGCAATCGAAATAGGGCAGGCAAATATCGGTCTATTGTGGATGGATTCTCTGTCACGTCGGACCATCGTTATGGATGAAATCCAAGCCGCTTGAAGCTCTAGTGGGCACGACTACCCGGAACTTCGCTACGAGTTCTGTGGGGTTTGGAATCGTCTTTTGCGGCAAATTGGGTATATCTCTGCTCACGTGCTGGAAATAAGAGGAGGACAATGGGTTCAATGGAGTCGGCAATACCTGACAACCAATCGTAGCAAATTCAGGGTAGAGTCGGCGCTCAACGGACGGCAACTTCGCGACAAGAAGATCAGTCGCCAATTAACAATATTTGCTCCATCCTCTTCGATAGGCATATTCCATCGTTCTGCTTACAATTTCCAAATCGCGTTATGAACTGCATTCTCTAAACCAACCTTAAAAGCCATCGTTCAGATTAGCGATAACCAGCGGGAGTAATTCACCCCTATTGAATTTTCTACCATCAATTGGTCCTCGGCGCATTGGCATTGTACATAGTGCAAGAGTACCAATCTCAAAGACGCTAGAAAGGATGCACTCAAATACCTACATGCTCTCATAATAGCACAGCCTAGGCGGCGATATGCCATTGTCTTTTATGGCGCTGGGATTACCGTTGGGTGTTCATGCGAGTTGATACAAGGCGGTGTGGTAAATCAAGGATTCGACATCCGCACACATGATAGTGCGATCGACTTTGCGCGAATTTTCTCTGGGCTCTGCTCGGCTTCTGGGCAAGGGCTTGGCGAAGATCCCACTATGGTGCTCAAGGACGTCGCACGCACGGTTCAGCTTGCGGTCAAGAGCCAGAAACTACCTACACTGGCCCCGATGTTAAACTAATTCAATATGACAATGACCACATCTAGTCCACAACCATGTTATCGAGCCATTTCCATCAAGGGTCGCAGTACACGAGTATATGGTGTCACTGACGTACGCCCAACTGGCCAAACGGAACAGCTTGTCCTCAAGTTATGTTGGCAAGATACCGACGGCCGCCCACGCGAAAGAGCTTCATAGGGTAGCCAGATCCAAAAATGTTTCTGGCATTCATTTATTCCTTGAGTAAGTGTTTCAAAGTGACGACTGAGGACGGACCCAGGGACAAGTCATTGCTCCACGACCTCGTGGGTCTCATGTATTGCGACGTCACCAGATCTTTTGATATGGGTGTCATTCGATGAATATAAGGTGAATCCGCTCAAAGACTTTCTTGATAAAGGGCATTGATTTGGCCTTGCACATGAACACTATGATTGTCATCTGACGGTAAGGTGCCATGTCTTGATTTGCGATACCATATATAAGGAAAATGAACGAGCATACTGAAAGGAAATATTAGGGTTAGAACCTGGGTTAGGGGTCGAAACATAGGATGTGATCTGCTGACGGAAAAATTTTTGATTGATGCTGTCGTGGTGGAGTGGTAACACATCCGCCCCCGGAGCGGAGGATCGCAGGTTCGAACCCTGTCGGCAGCGTTCTTTTTTTTTTTTGCCTCCTGTCTTCATCTGTTGTAACATCGGATAGTTAGCTGCACCCTATAATTGCTTCCAACCAAGCGCATTGATCGATTGAGCATGCATTCAAACACGCTCCAAAGCGAAGGAAATAGTCACAAATTTGCAAAACGCGCCGCAGCAACTTATGTCCCAGTTGGCCTACCATAGAGAAATCATTACCGAGCTGTTGGCAGAAGATGGCTTACTTATACTGGGACGTGGGCTGGGCCTACGTAGAATACAGTCGACGATACTCCGCATTTATGACGAGCCGCAAAACTTGGTCATTATACTGAATTTGCAGGCTGACGAGGAGGAGGCACTTCAGGAGGACATGGAGAGCGAAGCTCATGAAAGGGTTGCGCCGGGTCTTGGTCTACGTAGAATCGAATACGAGACGCCTGCGGAACAGAGGTAAGCTTATTTTAGCAATTAGCACTTGCTGATAGCCAACAGGAACGAAATATATCGGGCCGGTGGTGTCATGTCTGTAACATCCAGGATATTGGCCGTAGACATGCTTCTGAAACGGATTCCGATCCATCTTATAACCGGAATATTGGTAATGAATGCTCATCGGTAAGTGGAATGTCTCTTATTGACCTTATTTGCGGTTTAACAGCTATGGATTAATGTAGAGTCAGCGAAACCTCTATGGAGGCGTTTATCTTGCGATTGTATCGTGAAGGCAATACCGTAAATATCCTATGGAATACATTTAAGCAGTGGCGCTTATTCTTTTGCGCTGTCCAGGAAGGATTTATCAAAGCATTCAGTGATGCGCCAGAGTCATTCGTTACCGGGTTTGCACCTCTGCAAAATACACTCAAGAACTTGATGTTGAGAAAGGTTCATTTATGGCCAAGGTAATGTCGAGTACCACACGTTATATCTGCGTATTATAAATTGACCTCGACATGAACAGATTCCATTTGACCGTCTCCCACACTCTAGAAGTATACAAAGCAGATGTGATTGAGCTTCGTCAGCCGCTTTCCGACAACATGGAAAGCATTCAGCATGCTATCATAGAGTGCATGGACGCGTGCTTATCAGAGTTGAGGCGGTCCTGTCCTACGGTATGTGAAGCGACTTCAGATCAACCTCACATGTATGTATCTAAAGTGGATGCTATAGGTGGATGTGGAGGAGTTTACCGTCGAAAATGCGCTTTTCAAGTCCTTTGATGCCATCATTCGACAGCAACTTGACCCGATTTGGCATAGAGTGGGTTTCAAGACCAAGCAGCTCGTTGGCGACCTAAAGACGTTGCGAAGGTTACTGAGGTATGTTCGATTCTTCGGTCAAAGACGAGCACTCATGATCATTCGCATAGCTATCTGGTTGAATATGATTGTGTCACTTTCAATAGCTTCATTGAGACCGTTTTGGCCAGCAGCGGTAGCGCAGAAAGTCAAAGTCGCAATCAGCAATCACCATGGCTGTTTATGGAAGCAGCCGATACTCTCTTCACGGTAAGCTGACCACGAACACGGACCTTGTTTGTAGCATTGCTGACTCTGTGGTACGCAGACCTCGAAAGATCGAGTGTACAGAGGCGTAGCAAAAGTGGAATCCGAAACCCCCAATACCTACAAAGATTTTCCGCCATCCATCGTTCCCGTATTGGAGGAGCAACCAAAGTGGGGCCTACTGCATGACGTGCTAGATGAAATACAAGCGGACATACACGGGGACTCTCTTGGTATGTGAGGCTATCGCTCTTGAACATGCGCTGACCGATCAAATTCAGGCAGAAATCATGAAAACACCGTCGTCATACTCGTAGAGGACGAACGGACGTGTTTGCAATTACGCGAGTATTTATCCACGATGCACCTTGGCAAAGGATTAGGAGGCTCAGGTGGCCAACCAATGTTGCGTCGACTCTTGAAGAATTACTTTCGATGGAAGACGGGAATCGCTAAAGTTAAGCAAAACATATTTGAAAAGGACAAACAAAGTAACGGTCAGGGTTCAACACCCCCCCAAGAGGGCCAACGACCTCATCGCGGGCCTGGCGTTCCACCCCCGAATAAACGCCGGCGCGTTCGGGGCGGTTCAGCAGCGGCGGCTGCCGGCTTGCATTCTACGCGTAGAAACATGGACGAACTCGATCAAGAAGCGCGGGAATTAGCCTCATTGTAGGTTGACTGGTACCCAGTTGATCATGCTAACTTCTCTTGTCCGCAGCCTGAATGCGAACGGAATTAGCAATGAAAGCAACGGCGTGAATGGCGAGGAAAGCAAAGATGCTGCGGCAGAGGAGCAATATGCCTATGACGAACAAGAGTTTAGCCAACAATTTTCGGTCCTACCAGCATCCTCACTCATCATTGTGCGACCGTATCAAGGAGATAAAGATGATGGCTTCCTCGAGCAAGTACGTCCGCGCTTCATCATCATGTACGATCCGGACCCAGCGTTTATTCGACGCGTTGAGGTAGGCTATCACATCGATACCAATGGCCATCATCATTGAGCACGTTCGATAGGTTTATAGAGTGTTATATCCCGAAATTCCGGTGCGAGTTTACTTTATGGTGTACAATAATTCAGTCGAAGAGCAACGATACCTCTCCAATGTACGCAAGGAGAAGGAAGCATTCGAAAAGCTCATACGAGAGCGTTCGGTGAGTTTACAACTCGATGTGTTGTCAGCGATCGTTGACAATTGCCATCCGTCTTCGTGTAGATCATGGCAATTCCGTTCACAGAACCTAATCGACGCAAACCAGAAGACTTGTTTCTCAAGACGCTCAATACACGTATAGCAGGCGGGGGTCGCATACAAAATGCCGGACCTCCAAAGGTAAGCTCTAGGTGAAGGCAGTGGTTGAGTGTACTGAGTTCCGCTAAAGGTCATTGTCGATATGCGAGAGTTCCGCTCGTCATTACCACCAATTTTGCACGCCCAAGGCATGGAGATCGTTCCATGTACTCTTCAAGTTGCCGATTACATTCTCAGTCCTACCATGTGCGTTGAGCGAAAGAGTATATCAGATTTGATTGGAAGTTTTAATTCGGGGCGCTTGTAAGTGGATATGACACGAGCAACATGCAGGACTGATGTATATTACTCTAGATATACGCAATGCGTGACAATGTCCGCTTATTACAAGGATAACATTCTCCTGATTGAATTCGACCAGCACAAATCATTCTCATTACAGGTAAGTTGAGTGGAAATCCCTGAGCGATATGTGAACAACCGGATCTCAACAATTGCTGCAGTCCCTATCCGACATGAAAGCCGACATTACCATGACCGATCTGTCATCCAAACTGGTCCTACTCTCCCTCTCCTTTCCCAAACTCCGATACATTTGGTCAAGTAGCCCATATGCTACAGCAGAGATATTCGAAGATTTGAAGGCGAGTCAGGAGGAGCCTGATCCTGATAAGGCTGTGCTTGTTGGCTTGCAAGACGCTGAAGACATTGACAGTACCTTCAACCTCACGCCACAGGTAGGTCACTCTTTCCAAGCCTAGAGCCTCACTCACTGATCGTCATGGTTAGGACATTTTGCGTAGTATACCCGGTATCACCTTTCAAAACTATCGCTTGATCATGAACAAGGTGGAGAGTCTACGTGAACTTGCAGATATGTCTCTAGAGGACATGGGAGCAATCATTGGCCATGAGAATGCAAGGCGCGTCCTCGATTTCATAAACACAAACACCAAAGCATGAATTCGATCGATCGGAGTGTTCCCAGATCTCGTCATTGTATATAGCTGTATCTTATAGACCTCTTCCTTTGCTTTTGCTTCCCTATGTCTCGTTTACCTAAACTCAACGGCGCTTTTCGCGTTGGTTGCCACGATTATGAGTGGGTTCCAGAGAGCGCTAAGGCCGCGCAGGTGAATGTCGCTCACCACACCTCACCAAAGCCTGGAGTTTTACCCTATGAGCTTCCGGCGAGAGGTTGCTTCATGCGCCTGTTCTATCCCATTGCGGACACAGGGCGGAAAAGAGAGAGGGCGTACTGGCTGCCTTCGACGCGGTATGGTACAGCTATGGGAGAGTTTGGTGGCATCAAGCCTTGGGTTATTTGGCCACTTGCTGCGACCGCCTCGACCTACAAGTCTCAGGTACGAACGTTTACGGGTTTCCGTGCTCTTTTAACACCCTGCGCAGGCATGGCTCGATGCTGAACCACACCCCGATATCCAAAAGTTTCCTGTCATGATCTTTAGCCACGGTTTAGGCGGTAATCGAGTCATCTATACGGCTTTTTGCACCGAGATGGCATCCCACGGCTTCATTGTATGCGCTATAGAACATCGAGACGGATCAGCGAGTTGCGCCAAGGCTGTAGGCTGCGAGAATCTGGTCATGTATGTTCCTCCACCTACGACAAAGTGGGGTGATCCCAGCACTACCGCTTTTCGTATTCAACAACTCAGGTATCGCTTATCAGAAGTAGATCAGTGCATCCAGTTTCTAAGATATCTCAATACCTCGAACAATACTATTCAAGATTCGCTCGTCGAGCATTGGGTAGGCAAGCTCGATCTAGAAAACATTGTCGTATCTGGACACAGCTTTGGCGGAGCCACAGCGGTAAGCTAGGGCCCTGATCGTTCTAGTTTTGCGGCTTCTAAATATCTTCTGGCCAACAGCTCGAAACACTCCGTATTCCCGATGCGCCCATATCCTGCGGCGTACTACTAGACACCTGGTGCGGTGCGCTCATCTATCCAGAAGAACCCAACCCTATCCTTCATCCCTTCATCGCCATCAATTCTGAGCAATTCACCGACTGGTCCTCCAACTTTAACGACTTGCAGAAGCTCCTCGATGTGCCTAGCGTCAGGGACCGTTCAATCCTTATGCACATTGAAGGCAGTCGTCACCAAAGTCAAGCTGACATACTTGTCTTGTTCTGGGGCTTTGTCAAGTACGTCAAATCGGTCGGTGGCACGATTGATCCAGTCCTTGCCTTGGATCTCAACAATCGCGCGATCATTGAGTT